CACCTGAGATCGGAAATTCTTTCAGCTATTCAAATCTTTTTTCAAATTTATTCTAGCTATTATTAAAATCATTATTTTAACACGGCGCACGAACTTTTTCCTCAACCTAATAAGATCTATAAGTACACAAAATTTGACGCTCCAAGTGTTCATGATTCTTGAATTTCAAGGAGAGTGTATACGTTTGACTACTACTGTTAAGGGATTACTAGCTTTCAATTTACGAGATTATTATACGGGTCTATATTTTACAGATTTCTACAGTAAAATGACAGCCATTTGTGTAAGAGGTAGCTAGATCAACAAAAGCTGTAGATTTTCCAGTATATAAATTCCAACTACTCTATCATAAAGTTGGACGTAGTAGTCTAAGTCTAGAACAACGAACATATTTTCTGATCTATTTGTTGTATCACGTTCATGTATACTGTCAATATATTTTCGACTTCTGTCATTATTTTTTTCAAAGATACATATGCTTGTAAATTATTTTTTTCCGACTTTTTATTATTTCTTAATTCATTTCTCACGAGGATATGAAAAAGTTTTGATAAATTACCTTTAAACTTTGTTAGATTGAATAGTCTGCATGACGAAAAACAAATGGCAAGTCATGCTCTTATTTTCTAAAAAAAATTTTATTGAGAAGATGATATTGATGCATTTTTCGATAGTATTATTACTATTACTTCTTATAAGACCGATTAAAACTCTAATTGTTCGAGCTAGAGTGAGAATAATAAAAGATTTTGACTACATCCCATCACAACCAAAATTAAAAATTGGTTCAGTTTTTAATTCAAAATCATCTTACTTGTATTGTATTTCAATATGTAATCGTCACTCGACTTGTCGAACAGCCACATTTAATATAAACAATAATTTGTGTTCAATGTACGAAGATAATGATAATGTTGGTAAATTAATCGTCAAAGAAAATTCAACCGTATTAGCATTTAATTATTGCGATAAACCTGAAGAAATTGAACCATATTATATTTGTAGTGCAACTGGTTCTGCTCAATTGCTACAAGTTCATATTAATCAATTAAATCTATTAGAAAAATGGTCAACAACAAGTGGAGGAGTAGTATTTTATGAAAATTATTTTTATTTTGAAGATAATAATGCTGAAGTATTAAATGTCTATAAGATGAATGGAAATAATAAAATAGAGCTAATGTGGACAAAACATATAGGGTGGCCTGTTGGAAATATAAGGACAAATAAAATGGGTAATTTATATATTGTATCATCTACAGGTCAAGGAAAAGCGATTAAATTAGATTCAGATGGGAATATATTACAAACGTATACAATACCAGACATTGATGGATTAATCGATGATGTTGTAATATACAATGGTTATCTATGGTTTAACAATGAATTAAATTCAGTTATTGTCAAAATTAATGAATCAAATGGAGATATTATTCAAAAATATAATTTAGAACCAATTGCCTATAGTCTAACGTATTTTAATCAACAGTTTTGGACAACAGATGCTACGGGAATAATTTATAATTGGAATTATAATAAAAATGTATTGACACCCTGGATCAATGATTTAAATTATTTTCCAATAGATGATATTGTGGCAAATGGCTTGGTACAAGACTATGGCGGAAGAAGATATGTATGCAATTATGAAAGAATACCCGGTATAATTCTATTAAATACTAACGGAAAAATTTTAGCAACATTCAATTATTCAATGTGTCAAAGAATATTTGATGTTTATTTCACCAAATACGATGCTTATTGGTTCATTACATATAATAGTTTTTCATTTTTATATCACTTATCATTGTAACTTATTTAAATTACTGATCATATTATGTGTTTGTTTTAGATCCTAATTTTGAGAATTTATAGCATATTTTTGACATCTATGTACACTAATCATGAGTTCTTCTTCTTCTTTAATGATAGTTTCATTTATGTTGTTGATCATGCTTGGTGTTGTCAATTGATCGATGAAACAACGTTCTTGTTGATAATATATCCATCTTTGATAAAGTATTAAATAGAAACATACTAAATGATATTTGAATGATTATGATCAATATCGGTCCCCACATAAAAATTCCATGAAATCTTTTCTCATGCATATTTTTATCAACTACAACATACAAAAGGTAAATATCTTTCCCAAAAATTCAACTTCAAGTTCATGAAAAATACTTACGCAAATATAACAGACCCGGATTTAGAAATACCTTCCAAACGTTTACTTGTGGCATATGGTTTTGAAATGCTCTTATACAGAGAAACATACATCCCAAAATAATGTTCAATAAACGCCATATTAAATACGGTAAAACGAAAAAAGCATAGTTAAACCACACACCAAATGTAAATAAAAACAAAAATGATAATGGTAACAGTAAAAACAGTAGACTAATGAATATTTTTCCATTGAACGTATTGATTTCAACTGTTAATATTAACAGTGGTAAGGTTTCATACATGAGGTCATACAGAAAGACAATCATTATTAACAACGATATGTCGATGGTAAATGTGAACTCGATCGGTTCTGAATATAAACGATCAATGAATGTCACAACAATATTACGATGTTCATCTTTATCTTTATTTATTTGTTTTTCCGGTTGTCTACCGGTAACAATACTATTAACAGACATCATTGCCACAATTAGTCACTTCAAGAGAGTGAACACTCATCTTGAAATTATGAGTAAGGCGCGTGTTGAGGACAGAGATTAGATATTAGTGTTGATCTTTGCGATCAAATTTTATAGTAAACGAACGTTAGATCAACAGCTGAAACAGCGACATACGCTTCAAATGGGATGAATAATCCGCTAGAATTGTAAACTAGTCAGATTTATATTTGGTTCACCCTTTTCTCATTTTATTTATTTTATCGCTCTGACGTTCGATCGTTTGTTGTCATTTTTACTGTTTTCGTTCAACAGAATTCGTTCAACTGAAAATTCAAACATTTTTTTACTAATTTTTTTTCTTACTACAGAACCAAACCATTGAATTTTAATGGGCAATAATTTATTTTTATATAATAGTAGCACACAAAATCTTATCGTATGCTCAATCTCATGTGACTTCATTTGTAGTACTAATAAAGTAGAAAATTTGACTACAAGATCAGATGCAGTGTAAAAAAATGTCAGCTGGTTTTTTGATGTAACCTATCTGTCTGCATGGATCGAGAATATCGTTATAGAAAACTGATGTATAGTAAAAATATCGAACACAATTGTTTATATCGCTTAGATATTATCAGTGAACAATTATTTATGTGATAAAGTGCAGCTTTTTTGTTCTTTTATATGCGAAAAAAGACTAACATTGAATCAATAACCTCCATCCAGTGAAATTATAAAATCACAAAACACTTTCGTAGTGTCATCAGTTGATCATCGATTTTATCATACCGGATTTTTGAGTTTAGTTATCTCATTTTCAAATTAGCTGTTAGACAGATAAATTCTGTTGTTTCTATCAATCTAACGATTTTCAGCAGCCGATCAAATGTCAGCAAATCCGTGAGTTTGTATTTTAAAAAAAAACAATCAATACTAGGAAAAAATACAAGTTATGTTCGTTCAATATTCTACAGAAGATAGAAAACCACAGTTAAGGGATGTGTATGGATGCGTGAATACGAAAGTTAGACGTTAATGCAGCGGTTGCCGAATTTTTTTCATATTCGCCCTTCTCTCTGCTTCGAATTTTCGTTGATCATCAACCCCGCTAAAATCATAATCTGGATGACGCCGCATGTAGACCATATGATGCTTCTGCTTCATATAAGCATCGATAACCGAGTGTGGTACACCCATTTCACCATATTTTTGATAATAATTACATCTAGCTTGAAACAAATCATCTAATTCTTTACGACATGTTGTATCAGCATCTAGTTTTCCTTCATAGATACTACATCGAGCGGCACGTGTAAATAATATATCTATAATTATTGTATCGATACGTTTATCACGTTCATAAGCTTGGTTTGCTTCATAAAAACAGACTTTATCATCAATTTCACATTCATCGATGGTTTTAACTGGATTAAATTTTCGATGATAATAAGGATAAGATGGTCCTCTGAGACGTTCAACAACATTGTCATGAAACCATTCTACTGGGTAAAAATACATATAATCGAAAACACGACGGCTAAAATCCTGCCTAGAATGAAAAAATGAAATAAGTGTGAAATTATTAAAACTATGTCTTAAAACACTTACCATTTATTAACGCCATAGATATGTTCGTGTTTCGGTTCAGGCATTCTAAAGCCAACCGAGAATACGCTGTTTCTTTGAAATTATCGATCGCTCTACAGCAAATCAAACAACATTTTGACATTATTAGACGAGAATCAAATATTCTACAATCTCCATGACATGTGGTCTTTTCTCCTGATCGTGTCGTACGAATGGAAGAAAATACCACTCGTTTTTTAGTTATTTAAGTACATTTTTCACATTTTTTTCCGTTCAGAGACAAGGATATCTAGTTTTTATCCTATTCAAACTTACAGAAGCGTAATATTAAGATTTACTCCTTTTCTGTTTTACTCCCGACATGTTAACTCAGTAATTTGATAATTGACGACCACAGATCGTTCAAGATGACTTCCGTTCATGCCCAGGATGTTAGACGATTTTCGCAGATGTCCTAATCTGAGATTGGAGAGCACTTCTTGACATGGCGATGAAGGGTCCTCGACCGAAATCATCTTTTTAACGACCATCGGTCATTCTATTATAGGCACTCGTTGATATGACCTAATAGATGGCAGAAAGATATTTTTACGTTGCTATTACATCTGAGAATTTCACACCTTCTTATCAGTAGTGTTTAGTGCAAAAATGGAGAGAAAAGCTCGTTTTAATCCCCTTATTCACTATAGTATTGATCAAACTAATACGCAAAAATATTGTGGAGGAATAAATAAACAAACAAATGTGCATTCATGGAACAATTACTATTGGGAAGAAATGCGCCAGTATTTTGTTTTTTTGACCTGCAAGACAGATGGCATAAGCAAACAGTATCGATTAGGTTTTGAGGAACAGACTGTTGGTTGGCTATATATAAAAACTTTACTTGATCGTACTGTAAAAAGAAGTATACACTAAACACATTCCTTATGCGTTATGTCATTAATTCGTGGACAATTTTCTAGTCTATTTCAACAGTTTTTTCAGAGCTGAAGTCCCGCACAAGTATATCAAGTCATGCACCACTTCTATGGAATGAATAAAATATAACATCAATATTAATATGGTAAATTAAATAGCTTAAGGTTATACCAATACTAAATGAAACTTTGCTTTTGTTTGAACTCTCAACAAAATATTTGATTCTATCCAATTATTATCAGAGTCTATCTTCTTGATTCACGCCAGCAATGCTCAACGCAAGATTTATTAATCTTTGATTAAATTTTAGGAAGCGCTAAAGTTAACGTTTTATTTGTATTTTTCTGCACGCAATCAAATTTCAAAATTTTCTTGGATATAATCAATTGTTTCTCGTTCTATCGCCAATTCCAACACATGGCTTACAGATCACTCAAGACTTCTTTTTTTGACATGGAGCACTTTGCATCAGTGATAGAAAAATGTTTGATCTATCATCATTTTGAATCGGAAAAAATATGACAAACATTTTAAAAGGCCTAACTTTATCCCAAAGTTAGGCAACGCGATGTACTTACAGTTCTTTTGTAATTGATTTTTATCATCAAACATCAAAAGATAATATCAGAATTGAGCGTAAATGTATGGGATGAGTTAAAGCTAATGTATCTCTTGAAATTTTATTAAAGAAATACACAACATACAATCGTATACGATAACAAAAGAAAAAAAGGTAATTTTTACCGTCGCTGATAGAACAAACAAAATAGGCGATCTGAGTATGTTCTGATCTTGGATAATATACAGTTATCAATGACAAAAAAAACGTTACTGAGTGAGTTTTCAATATTAACATTTACAGAAGAAACATAAATCACGAAGCACAAAAAATTAGCCGAGAATATCTGACTGTAAAAAGGCTGAAGATTTATAATATCATGGCTCATAGCATTACTAGTAACTTGAGTATTAATAATAACAAATCAGTAAAAAAATATTGAAGGTTAAGGTAAAGTCGTCAAAATTTTAGGCATTTCGATAAATTTTCTGAGTAACTTTGTCTGCTTCTCCTATCCGAGTCGTTTGTTTTTCAGATTTTAAATTTATATTATCAACTTGTTTGTTTTGAACTTCGATGACGTTACCCATATCTAATGCCATATTTTTTAAACCACCAAGATATGAATGAACAAGTTGTAGATTTTCTTCCATTTCCTCTTCTTTTGCATCATTTGTTATTTTTGAAATATAACCATTCATCGGCATTCCATTATCATGCATCGTATCTTCATACATACGAAGTTTTGGTTCGGCTCTAATCACTTTATCCTTATTGTCATTCAAAGTAATTGGCGTCGATCGTCGAGTATTCTGTAATAGTATACATAAGCCACAGCATTTTTGTAGATATGTAAGCTGTTTTTCAGCTTCATTCATATTCAAATTAATTTTATCTAAATTTTGTTCAATATTATCTAACTTTTCACCTTGTTCATTCAACATAACGAGTGTCCGGATGCCAACTTCTTTTGTTTCATCAACTATACCAAGCATTCGACGTGTACTTTCTAACGACTCGTTTGACACTTCATTTATTTGTGATTGAACATATTCCAATCCATTATGCATTGTATCGCCTTTCGACATTGCTCTTAAGTATAAATTTGAAAATTTCGTTCAAAGACTTAATAAATAATATTTTATTGCTTTAAAATGTGAATACGAAATGATCTAAAATATGAGCAAATATGTTAGTTTTTCATCAAATCTAAACAAAGATATACATGTTTCAAGTTTGATTTGCATGATTACTTGCCGGGCGTAAAGGATTAATAAAATGTCTACATTGAGATATAAAATAATTTGCCTTTCTCTCTGGAAAAAAAAAGATAACTTCAGTATAGTAGATAGAGGAAGCAAAGAGACAGTTTCATTTTTAATCAAGATACCACAACAAAGAGCTTAGAAAATTCCATACATCAATAAATGAACATGAATTTTGCATTTACAATTAGAGATAGCCACGTCCCTGACTTTGAAATCTAGCGTACCTATTTTAGCTTGTTGTCGCCGATTAAATTTTCCTTTTATCATGCTGTTCAGGCTCAGAAATGCTAACGTCTCTACTCACAGTTGTTCTTTGTACCATACTTTTCTGTGTTAATGCGCAATGAAGTATCTCGAGCGATATATAGTAGACTTAGGTATTTTCAAAAGAACAGGAATGCTATTTTTCTTTTGCTGCACAGAAAGTCACCGTTTTCTTTGATATCAATCATTGTGTGAGTATAGTTAAATATACACGTTTTTTGAATCAGTGTGAACATATGAACTCATACATATATACGTATATGTGAGAAGAATAATCATTTTTTTATCAACACATTTTGAATTATACGGACGACGATAAGAGAAATAGATTATTTTTTATAGACGATGAATGAATGAATGATGGATGATAAATCGACGAAATATAGTCTATTATATATAGGTATTTTGACGGCCCGTAATAGCGCCCTCTTAAGAAGTTGACTTAGTACTGTTGAAATATTTCTGTAGAAAATGTACGAGTTTCAAGCTTTTGAAGATTTTGACTCAGTTTATTGCTGTTACAACAACCTGAACAAGAAACTGTGTAGAAGTATTATTCACAGTGGCATGGGTGAAGTAAAAAATCTTTCTTCGGCACAAGTTCATACAGTGTCTGATCTTGTCTACTTCTGAACACCATATCAACAGCTAATCGTCCAGATTCTTTCAGACTAGAGAAAAGTCTTTTAAGAAAGGATGTATCTCTCTAATGCTAATTGAGTTTCGTTATTATACTAGATATATTAAATATATAATGTCGCTAATGACAGGTGAGAGAGAGAGAGAGAGAGAAAAGAAAGAGGCTTGAAACATTATGATTGGCTGAAGCTGGTTAGTCGTAGTTCATTCATTCATTCATTCATTCAGTCATCTTTTTTGTGTGTGCAGAAACATGGACGATTATTTCAAAGTTGCCTTATTTTTTCCTCACTGTTCAGCTAATTAGTGCTCTGTTTCCTTGCCAAGAAAATAGAACTTTTGTCTTTCTTCAAAGCAGAAATTTTGCTTAATAATTAGCTAAAGCTTGAAAGAGCTACTCCATTCACTTGCTGGACTTTTGATTAGGATTACCCAAGGAGAAAAAACATATTAATATCAGAGTTTTTGCTTTTGTGTTCAGATCATAAGCACATTCGCCTAATAGATTATAAAAATGAGTCTGTTGACAATTGCTGAAGATAACTGTGAAACGTTTGACCGATTTTCAGGAAATGTACTGATTACGATGAATGTGGGTTCTGAAGGTAGAAATAATTCTTCCTCTCATTTTAGAGTCTTATTGAGTACTATCTTACTATACTATTTCTTGAGTATGGAGATGAGATTAAGTAAACCGTAATCTAAGTTTGAATAACATTTCATATTTCAATTCACTTACACTTTTACTATTTCCAGACATAAATATTCGGCCGATAAATATTTTGCTATTTTTATGTAATTTTAGATTGATCATTAAAAATACATTTTTATGTTTAAATGATGACATCAAAACGCTATATCAAGAAACCAGTGCCGCCTAAATTTGATTCAGAAGATGAAGATATTTCATTGGATGCTAGTCAACGTTCCGATGATAGTTTTTCACAATTTGAGTCAATTGGTGATAATTCTGTTGCTATCGAGCCAATAATGGCACGATTAAGTACAATTAGTAATAGTCAGACATCATCGCAAAATTCTGTTGATATTCCAATAACAACACCGATTTCATCACGACGTACCAGTTTTAAACATCCTCAATCCGATCAAACACCACTGACAGTTTCCAAAAAAGAACCATCATACACGGTTAGATATGCGACAACGACAACACCAGGCATTAAAACCACTCCACCATCTTCCACTAATAAACGAAAACGATCAGATCAAGAAATTGTTATTATATCGTCATCACCACGAGAACAAGAAAACCAACAACAACATCAACATGATATCGATTTGTCGTCTATTTCAATCAAAACACCTGATCAATCACCATTTTCAAGACGTAAACATTTACAATTAGTTCAGGAAACATCTTTTCGTTCTCCAAAATGTTTAAGACGTAGTCGTTTACATGAGACAACAACCACATCAATTGGAACAAACGAAAGTGAAAAATCTAGTAGAGGTATGTGTTAAAATTATTCTTAATCTACGTGAATCTTTCATTTTGTTTTTGGTTTTTAGGTGATTTTACAAATATAAATCCATTTAGTCCGGAATCATGTTTAGCGAAACGTTTTAAAATCGAATGTCACCCATCACCACGCTATGAAACACGTTTAGCTGTTAAACGAGCAGCAGCATTAAATAATAGTTTTCAAAAACAGCAAGAACCACAATCGCAACTATTAATGCTACGTGAATTAGCTATAAGACGTTATGATGAAGAGTTTCGTGAAGAATATTTAATTGGAAGTGGTGAGTTTAGTCATGTTTATTTAGTAACAAATCGTTTAGACGGTTTAAATTATGCTATTAAAACATCGAAACATAGCATTATTGGTACATCCTATGAAAAATTAGCATGGCGAGAAGCATGTGCACATGCTGCATTAATCTCTCATGAAAATATTGTACGTTATTATTCGGCATGGAGTCAAGACAGCAAATTTTATGTACAGTTAGAACATTGTAATGGTGGTACATTAGATGATATTATACAAAAAAATCGTTTACATAATACAAATAGTGAATCACGTACATTAAATGAACACGTGTTAAAACAAATTTTACATCAGATGGCTGATGCTTTATCCTATATGCATTCGAAAGACATCGCACATTTAGATGTTAAACCAGCTAATATCATGTTATGTTTCAAAGGCAAAGGGATATCGTCATCTGAACAATTGGAAAATATGATGGATGAACAAGACAGTGTTATTTATAAATTAAGTAAGAATAAGCAGATTTGTGGATTTTCTCTAGAACTTTTAAGGGTATCCCTCATTTTTTGAAACAAAAATCGACTTTTGTCTTAAATATTCTGATTCAAATCTAAAAGCCGCATTAATTGTTTAGCAGCCTCAAAAATCAAAGTCCGGTTCCGAAATTTTCTTATAAGTTCTCAGCGTTATGTCTTGGAAACCTAAAGCATAAAATACCTAGGCGTATTTGAGCTCTCTTGTACTGGTACTTTTTTTAAAAGCGTTTTCATCAGGACTTTGTACACGAGAAAGTATGCCATTTTTTAATAATATGACTGATTCTGTATTTTCCTTTATTTTTTTAGCTGATCTTGGCCATGTTTGCTCAATCAGTAAATGTACAGTCGAAGAAGATGGTGATAGTCGTTATTTAGCGTTAGAAGTATTGCAAAAACAAAATTTAACAAATTTAGCTAAATGTGATATATTTTCTCTTGGTCTAACATTATACGTTTGCGGTACAAATAAAGAATTGCCAATGAATGGGTAAGTTTATTGTCCAATTCTTCGTTTTAGGTACTAATACGCTATTTACGTTTCATTTCAACACATGATCTAAATCGGCTTTGTCTGTTATCTTAAATTTGTGATTATTTTAGAAATGAATGGCAACAATTGAGATTGAATATTAATCACCACTTAACAATAATCCAATCGTGTTCACAAGAATTCAATGATTTATTGTTAAATCGAATGTGTAATGTTGATCCGCTTGAGAGACCAACAGCATATGATTTGTTAATCAATCCTGTGGCTTCACCGAGTAATCCGTCATGTCGCGAAACACTGAGGTAGCGTGACATTTCATTTCATATTGATTATCTACTTGCACTAAGAGTAGAATTTAACATTTAAAATATTGAGCTTGGTCGAATGTCGTTTGAGCATTGCCGAAACCTTAATCTTCTTAAGATTATAGAGGATTTGGTCGTAAACTTGACCAGTTATTTAACCATCAAGGCTTTCATCCCTTTTTGTGGAATTGTTTCCTTGTTTGAGTTGAATTTTTAATCTGAAATAGAAACCGATGAACTATGACTTTTTATTTAGACACAGTTTAAAACGTGAAAGACTAAAAAATTCATTACTGAATAAAAAATTATTGGAACATTACATTCTAACAACGTCAACAGATAGTAATAACAATGATGGCAGTTGTGTTCAATACAGCAACAGCAACAATGCAAGTACTCATTTGTTTTTATCACCAAGTCAGTCATCCTCAACAAATATTCAACATTATGCCTCCACACCAAATGATTTATCGTCATCAACTTCCACGAGTGGCCGTTTGAATATAAATACAAGTTTCGGTTTTATCAATCCAAATCATTTTCATTTAAATAATTCGTTAACATCACCAATGAACGGTGTTCAACGAGGTTGTTCTTCATTGAAAAACAATAATAAATGTGCTGTTATGGCCAGACATTATAGCTCAATTATTTAAGAAGAACATTTTTTTCTCTTATACTTCATTTTTCCATTCTATTGCCATGATATGTAAGCCATATACAGTTCTTCTTTTATTCAGCTGGTCTGCAATGAATCTTTTTTTGAAATGCTTTGATATCGTTTGAAGACGCTGGTCGTCGCCTAGTTTTTCCTGTTCTTAGTTGAATTGCTTTTTTCCTGTCTCAAAATAGACCTAAATTAAAAAAAAATCCGAGACAAAATTGGCAGTATTCTTAATAGTAACTCGAAGTTGGCGAGGTTAAATTCCTTTAATAATCTCGTTAATATCATTTAACAAACAGTGTAGAGAGACTTTTTATTTGTTATTATTGTTGATGCAAATGTATACGGAGAAAAAATAAACTAAAAAAAACATTTGGCAAAGTAATCTTCTTTAATATTATTTTTGTCTTTATTACAAGCAGACTATTGGTCAAATAGCATTTGCATTTATGTTCAGATAAATAAGATATTTTATGTATCCTTTCTTTGAGTTCTTTAAAACAGTAAACTGCGCTGTTGTTGTTGTTTTTCCTGTCTGTCTCATTCTCTGCACATATTTTTCTTGCTACTATTTTTTTTTGTGATAGAACTTCTCTTTTTTTATGTCAACTTTTGGTTTTTGTTACTTTGTTTTTCTTTTGCCATGGATTTATATAGTCGGTGGATACTTTTGTGCAACTTTGTTTTCCTCTCTAGTCACCACCATATGTAACAAAAAAAATAAAAAAGATTTGATTTTTCTTATACGTTAATAGACGTTATTTTATTAGTTGTATTGTGAAAGAGTAAGCTGTTACGTTATTGAGAAAGCCTTTATTTTTCTATATTGTTATGAAAACAGAAAAGTATTTTTTTAAAAGATATATTCACTAACATTGCTTCCTGTTTTAAATACTATGGATCTCTATTGTTTTATATGAACTGGCTACAGTAACTGTCTCGAGTTTTCTATTGGTTAACCCTTTGATTAACGGAGTATCATATGTGATACCCGTGGCCATTCTTTGAATAACTGTTGAACGAAAGTAGATGAAGACTCGCGGTTTTCGCTATTCGATAGCCAATACTCAAGAGCATGTTTTCGTAAGCAGAAAATATTTAGAAATTTTTTCAAAAATCGGTTTTCAAGAAGATCTCTGAAAAAGTGTTTTCTAATTGGAAAATTCGGCATATCAATATATTGATTTTTTTTCATAAATAGATAGACTAAAGTGCCCTCCACAAAACAGAACCTAAGAGAGAACTTCATTTCTCATAGTTACGCAGGGGACGAGATTTCCTGGGAGCCCTAAGATTACTCTTCATTTCAGTCAATAAATCTCAGCAATACATGGAAAAGCAAGTTTTTCAAAAATTAGGGTTTTCCGCCTTTTTTCACCTGTTTTTAAAAGTTCACAATTCACCCATAAAACATCAGAAGTTTTTTTCAGAACTTCAAGATACAGTTAATTCTGTCCGCTAGACGTGATTATGAAATCGAAAAAATTAAAAAATGTTTTTGTCCTGAGGTTTTCTAAAATCCCTTTCAGAGAACCAACATTTCATCAATTTTTCTTGTTGATTTATTTTACAGAGAATATAAAACAGCCTAAATACTGTACACCGTGAAATTCTGAACTCGTTCTGATGTTTTTTGAGTGAATTGTGAATTTTTTAATAACAGATGAAAACAGGCGGAATTTTTGAAAAACTTGGTTTTCGCTAGATTTTAACATCTTTTTTAAGAACAAATGTTGCCATGAGATTCAGCATCATTCAAAGAATGGCCACGGGTGTCATATTTGATACTCCCGTAGCCAAAGGATTAATAGACGTTGAGGCAAGGAAACATCTATGATGGAAGTATTTCTATTTTTAGATGAGTTTAATCGAAAAAGATTATGAATTGTCCGGTGGTAAGGATTATAATTCGACACTTCAACCATCATCGAAACTCTTATGGCGTACTGTTAACGGTGTTGCCTGTCTATTTTTCCTTTTGGCTGCTTACGTTAATTTAAACGATGACGATTGGTATCTTTGGATATTTATTTATTTATCGACCGCATTTTTTCTTCTTATTGAAACGCTTGATTATCAAACATTGTACGATACATTCTATTACTATTGTTTGAATGCATTTGTTTTCTTTCTATTCATTGCTTATGGTTGTAGTTTATTGATACCATCAACACCACCAACAAAACAACGAAATAAATCAAAAGAATGGTTTCTTCATCGTGAAGAAGAACGTGAAATGAGTGGATTAGCTCTTGCAAGCGGTTGGCTCTTATTAATATTCTGCCGACGAAGACATTTTTACCAGTCAACATATTTGTTGTCAATCATGGCTATTGTATTAACACTGGTGCCAATCGCCATGTGGTCAGTTTGCTTTGTTGGCGATTGGTCTCAATATTTTCCACAGTGTAAAGATATGTTTGGTAATAATGAAAGAAAACAGCCAACATTTTAAAGAGAAATGAAAATGATAGTAGTACATTCCATATATTTATTTGTAGAATGATTTTTTGTTCTCAAGCAATTGTCAGAATATGTAAATAAATTGTTATACTTATTTATTATTAAAAAATAATTCTTGCCTGCTTTTATTGTTTTCTTTAAACAATGGTGCAATTTTTACTGAACTTTGTTTTTCAGATTTTTTTAATTCCATTTTAAACAGTGGTTTTTATCTTTATGTAGTTTATAGAAATAAAAAATGTCCTTATAGATTTATTTTTCTGTTCTTCTTTATCATTGATGATGTTGATAGTTATCTATTTTGCTTTTTTGAATATTATCAAGTGTTTTCTTTCAGATTTAGTCTAACCGACTTCAACAATTTACATCGAAACAATGTCAATTTATATGATTTTATTTTATTTTTTGTTAGCTGTTTCATTTATTCTCTACTATCTAGCATTGTATGTTCTGAGTGATAGCCAAGTATTTCGTTTGAAATATGGCTTGTATGTATCCCTTGTCATGCTCGTATCTATCGTATTTTTACCCTTCTTTCTAATTCGCCCATGCAACGCATATAACATTAGATTCGCATCCTATATACTCAATAAAATATTGCCTCGTTTTGGTATTAGATATAATGTGGAAAATAAACATTTCCTACATATTAACGGACCCTATATTGTTGTCGCCAATCATCAATCGAGTATTGATTTTATTGGTATGATGAATATATGGACAGACGACATTAAATATTGTTCAGTTCTAGCTAAAAAAGAATTACTTTATGCTGGACCATTTGGAATATCTGCATGGCTTGCTGGTGTAGAATTTGTCAATAGAATGAATTCTGAACAAGCCGCAAAAACAATGAAAAATATGATGGAAAAAATTAAATTAAAAAGTCTGAGATTATGGATATTTCCAGAAGGTTACTATTCTCTATTTTATATTGATTTTCTTTGAACATTCATTTTCTTTTTTTCTCAGGAACGCGGAATATGGAAAATGAATTTCGTCCATTTAAATCGGGAGCATTTCGTTTAGCAATACAGGGACAAATTCCAATCGTTCCTGTGGTTTTTTCATCTTATAAAGAAATTTATAATGCCAATAAACCCAATTTGTTTTGGAAAAATGGTGTGGTGACAATTAAATGTCTCAAACCTATTGACACAAAAAATATGACCATGGGCGATTTTCCACAATTAACCAGTACAGTGAGAGAAAAAATGATGAAAGAGTTTAAAGCATTGAAAACTGTGCCAGATGTTTGAAATTGATAACAAAGTTTTCTAGAATATGTGTGTTTGTGTGTGTGTTCGCATTTTTATGATATCAGATCAATATATATTTGTTTTATCCCTTTTTCTTTAGAAAATTTTTTCTCTAATATATATGTCAGTGAATATTCACTCTCTCCATATAAAAAGTTTAGCTGTCTGTGTATCATGTCAAATCTTAAGCAATCTAAAAATCAATACTAGAGAATGTTTTTTGTTCAACGCGTTTATCAAAATTTTTTTGAACCATATGTGCTTCTGTTTCCTTATGCATTCACTTTTTGATTCTAGTCGAATATCAACCATATTTTTATTATGACAAACTGCTTTTGATATCGCTTTTTGTTGTTTATGTAGTGTTTGCGAGAAACCTGTTTATACTGTAGTATATTTGAGATAGAACTTACTCTCTACAAAACATTTATTTATACTAGCTAATACGTTTTTATTCAGGCTCATGAAGAGCTGTGATAACTTTTTTTTACACTCCGAATATTGCATAAAGTTTTCTTTTTTGTTGATTTTCAAATTAAATTGTTCTCGTTTCACTTCATAGATATCGTTCTTCTTTCGACGTACATGAACACTGAATAACTTATTGTCTTAGTTATAAATTTATCCGGTGAATCATTTAACTACAATTTGAGTCGTCTGATAATAACAACAAATTAATAACGAGTTCGTTTTCTCTATTTTGAACAATTGTTATAATATGGCTTTGATCACTTTTCTTTTATTACGATTCAAATAATAACAATTCGATGATGCTTTTATCTGCAATACAAAAAATAAAAACATAACCGATAGTCATTTTGTTTTTATTTATTTTACTTAATTTTAAATTTTTTTTTATATTTTGAAATTTAAAGCAATAAATGTGATTTTGAAGTAAATTTGAAATAGGAAGGAACAAAATATTGAAAAGTGCAAGAAATGTTTCTTTGTGAAGTAGAACAACAGAAATGTTATTTTGCTCAGTGTTTTAGATTGACTATAATAACAGCTTGTTGTTACATTCAATTTTTCCCAGAAAATTTAAGTAAAACAAATAACAACACGGAAGGTAGTGACGTGAAATCTGAATCTATAGTAGTGGATAAAAGTCTTCAAACACCCTGTATTCTTAATGTGAAACTTGGTATAGATGTAGCTTGAGAAATATGCTGACTACAACACAAGTTTGTCAGAACATCCTACTTTTACTTTTTTTCACTAAAATTCGACTAACATTTGACCCAAGAAAATTGAGCACTAGAATGTGTGCGATGGCCGATATCTACAACTCTTATGTGTTGGCTCTTACTAATTATGACATCAAAGCCACTTCGTGATTGGCAGTTATATTTAACATTTCTGGCCTTTTTCTAATAAGAATACATCCGCCCCAAAATTACATTTTGATTTGAAAGTTTTTCAAAAAACTTAAAAATGTCTGGAGATTATTTCTGCAAATGTTGAATGTTAAGCACAGGACGAATCGGGATTTGGATCAAATGTGCCTAAATAGTTATGAACCATCTGTTACCAAACTCGCGTTTCTCTCCTCAACATAGAATGCACATTGGCTGGAGATTAGAGTTATGCACTCTTCTAAAAGTCGTCGACATAATTCATCTTTCTTAAACATAGCGTTGATCCTGCTCTACCATACCAATGATAACAGCGGAATATTCGTGTGCAGCATTATTAAAGAAATGAATATCAGTGCAATGTTAATTATTAATGTTAATAAAGAATGGTTAATTATTCTTCATAATTTATATGTTTATATTGTCGATAGTAGTAGCACGATGCGTCGTTAAATTCAAAACAAGAGATCAGTTGTTTTGCGTAAAAATTGAAAAGTCGATGCACGAAATCTATTACGACTTTTAGAGAATAAATTCTTTAGATGTCTAATTGGCATGTGTAACAATTTTTGTCTCTATTTACAACACTGTTTTACGTGAGAGCGTAAAGATGTGACAGGACAGTTAATTATATTAAAGAAAACGAGATCTTGTAGTTTTTGAAAAAAGTTCTACTTTTAGATTTAACGTAAAGAAGTAAAAACCTTTTCTACTCTTTTATCTAACTTAAGTTCGTCCGTCTATAACTGACTTTTTCATCGATTGATCTTTTTCTCAGATTTCTATGATCAGAAATAACTGAGAACGAATGGCTGATTCGAACGAGAAAACATAATGTGAAAGGAAAGACGAATTTTTTCTAGTGAAAAGCAATAAGTGCATCGACAAATCATGTGTCCAATATATTGAGAAGACGGCTGGATGGACAAAGCAACTTTTTCTTTTTTGATTTGATTGAATCGGGTAGTATTTCAACAAAATACTCAAAGTATATTTACTGTTCAGACTGAAAAGGATCCTTATAGCGTTGTGCACACAAACTCGTTTTAATCATCATCTCTTATCGTTGACTTTAATTTTAACATCTTTTGCAATAAAATGAAGAAATTTTAGATTAATAAACACTGTTTTTTTCAATAATCACTGCGGGCAGCTATTTTCGTATTCCTTGTTAGATTATTTTAGCGATATTTTTCGATGATTCACGATGGTTACTTTTACTACGGAAAAAGTGATCATGGAAAATTGGAAAACTTCCATCAGGTAAAAAGTGCAAAATCGGCGAAAAGTATGAAATTTTAATTTTTTTGATAGGTTAAACGAAACTAAATGTTGAAAACGATGTTGATGAGAAATTTAAACTTATTCGGTTGCTTATTAGAGAAATTTTTTTATTGATTATAAGTTACAGCGCTGAGCAAACAACTTCTATGAAGAAATTTTGTCAAAGTTTCACCGCGTTGGGATCATGCAGTTGCAACATCAAATATGTGGTCACGTGTGAACTTCCTATAATTTCACACGCGTTCACAAGTGAGAATTTCTTTTCACATTTCTATGATCAGAAATAAATGAGAACGAATGGCTGATTCGAACGAGAAAATACAATATGGTAGGAAAGACGAATTTTCTCTAGTGAAACACACTATTTTACGACTTTCACTAGTGACCATGTGCGAAAAATTTCCTTAAGCAGGTCACGCGTTCTCACAAGTGGAATATATTTTTCATGTGTGCCCGCCCACACACCATTTTACAATGTTCACGTACGACTACAATTCATTTTCCGATATTCACGGGTGTACACGCCATTTTATATTCTCAAATTTCTCCATAGATTTCTCCATAGAGTAATTTTTCCACTTTCTTCCGGCGTTTATTCGAACTCAACCTTTGCATAAATCTTCCTTACTTTCTGCAACACCTACAAGATTGTATATTGATGCAGATTTCTTTTGATTTTACAGTTGGCTTTGTAAAAAACCAAAGTATTTTATATAAAATCTGCTTTTCTTAACTAAAACAGCATTTTTTATTAAATCAAGTGACATAATTTGAGATCAGTGCATAAAACTTTATGGGACGATATACAATACAAAAAGCTTAGCAAGAAAACGTCGGTAGAAATTAAATTCTGAATAATATAGCAAGTTTCGTAGAGTTGACTTTGGTAACCAGTATGTTGCAGCGACTGAAAACAGTCAAAAATCGGTTAAATCCTTTCTATCCAATAAAATTTATATGATAAATTTTTCATTGTTATCTATCGGAGAGTCATTATATACTGTGATAATCGTGATGTATTCAGATACATAATCTTTGTCTACACATTATAGACTAATCGATATATCGTAATAACAAACATTAGCTCAGTTATTACTAAAGGTATTGCGATAATATTTATTAGCATCTTCTATCACGATACTCTTTATCGATATGCGAAAGTCATATACTTCGATTTTCAACTCACAAAATGCTTGGTCTTTTGGTTGTCTGTCATATCAGCTGATATCGGAGTAGATGAAACTATAATAAAAATTGAAATTTAAGCTAGAGTAGAACATATTTTTAAATGTTAGTGGAATTTTTACTATATTCTACGTCTCATATTGTTTTTAAATGCTTAGATCTATCAGATAAGCTCAAGATGACGCACTCCTAACAACATTGCGTAGTCGTGCATAACATGTTATGAAGTAAGAAAATATTCTATTCTGAAGAATATGTAGAAATATTAAGATATTCTATTTATATTTTATTGAAATTCATCGTGTCAGAGCAGATGAACAACTATAGACATATCACAATATATTGTTAATCCGATTTAATTTCTAATTTATAGAATCTAACATTTTTAAAATCATTAACGATTTTATAGAAAAGTTAACAATTCTTTTCAAAAACTGGAGTCGATTTTCTACAATTTGATTTTCAAGAAAACTGAAAAATGCATGCTTGTTTTTTTAAATTTTTTTACAGAAAACGTTTCGTGTTAAATCTTTTTATCACGATATTTCTAAACCTTATCTCAATAATACATGTATCATCTGTCATCGTAGTACTTTTTCATCACGATAAGTATAGTAAAAAGAACCTCATGGATTGTCTTTCTCTCACAATTAAAATCTTTGTCTTCACTTCTGAATCATAAGTATTCAGACTTTCTTATCATTGTGATTTTCTACGTCATACTGACGACAGAGGTAATTGGAAATATGTTCGTTCAATTCTATTTTATGATCGAAAAAGAACTTTTATTTAATAATGAATTTTAGTATTTCTCTCTCCAATAAAATGCTTCCCGTTGTCGTCAGTAGTGTAACCTTGCACTCTCAACGTTGACCGCGCATCATTTAAAGATCTTTAAACTACACCTCTTGACCTTTATTTATCGATTCTTTTTCTGATCTAATCGATCGATCAAATAGATTTCTATCGAACAAAAAAGTAGGGAATGAACGTGATAGTTTGTGAGATTTTATTTAAGTATATTGTAATTCACTCAATTTATCTTAATATAATGATGATGTCATCATTCAACCAAAAATAAACCCGAAAGAGATTAAAAGAAATCATTTTTCCGTTTTAAAGTCTTTTTTTTTTATTCCTTTATAGTAAGCATATATATTTTTTCTGCTCTACTTG